TTCCGGTCATTTTTAAAAAAAAAAAAAAAAAAAAAAAAAAAGACAAAATTGGTGAAAATTGGTTATGGGGGAGGAGGCTAAAAAAGGTTGAGAAACACTGTAGAGTGAGGACACGGAGAAGCTGGCACTGTCCAGGTTGTCAGTAAACATAACCACATCTCTAGTTTTAGAGTAGCTGAGAAGGGGACTCGCCCCAGGCCCAGCATTTCCAGCTGCTCTCATGCTGCACAAGTCCTGCTGTCCCTGGAGGGAAAGAGAGCCCCCAAGGGGTTGGCCATCCATCTCCATTCTGTGTGTTCCAAACTGGGAGAGTAGAAGGTAGAATTCACAATAGCCTGTTGTTAGATGCAGATTTTCTCTTGTGTTTTTCCTCAGTATAGGCCAGTGTAGTTAAAAGCAGAAGCCATACATCTGGCTTCTGGCCACCAAGAAGTCACTGCTAGAGCTGTAGAGATGAGCCCAAGCACCCCCATGCCCCTGGTCTCCCACACACATTCCTTTCTCTTGGGCACTGAGGAACCACTGGGGCTGTAAAGGAATGAAAGGACCCTATCTGCCCTCATTTCTGGCATCTGGCCTTTCTGGTAGGTATACTTGGCCATCGTTTTGCTATAACTGCCACTAAGGACCTGATGAATGGCTTCTAGGTCATTCTCCTCCCTCAGACCCTCCGAACTAGCTGTGAGGCTGTAGCCACCCTCTGTGGAGTAGTGTAATCACAAATACTAGTGAAAAAGTCCCTGGCGTGCTAGGCTCACAAAGTTTCCCTGTACTAAAGTGACTGGCCCCACATTTTTTAATGATTACAATTAGTATCCCTTATGGCTTAATTATATCTTACTTCTAGGTTTTAGATTATAGAGCTTGTCAAATTTTCTGGCTTTCGTACCAACATAGTTCTCTCCTTGCTGAATTATACGCATAAGCTGGGTCCTTTCTGTGAATAACTTCCTGCCTGGAAACAGCAAGTGCAGCGGACGGCAGCACTGCCCGGCATGGGCCGCCTCTGCACTCCCTCACATCTGTGTGCACACACCGCTGACGGCTGGGAGGACTCGGGGAGGAGCCTTGGAAACTTGGCCAACTTGGAACCCATTTAAAAAGGAAGAAGCTGTCGGGGGAGAGTTGGCAGGAGTAGAAATTACCTCCCCCCAAATATGTTACTGTCTAAAAAATAGAGATTAGAGCTACTGGAGAGAGGTGAGAAGGAAGGGAATTGTATACCAAAGACCATCTCACCTGGAGCTGTTTACGTGGCTGTTGACCCCAGTTTGCAGTTACCTCATGAAGGTCAGGTAGCTCAAACTGGCATTTCCCAGCAGGGACATAATAGGCATCTGAGGTGGGACAATTCTTAGTTGTGGGGGACTGTCCTGCATTGCAGAATGTTTTAGCATCTCTGGCTTCATATGCTAGATGCCAGTAACCTTCCCCCTTCTCCCCTTATTTCCAAGTATTCCCTAGGGAGGCACCTTGTTCATTTGAGAGCCAGTACTTTTTAAAGTATTCTGTGAAATGACCAAGAACAGAAGAATCTCCAGTGCCTAAGATACTGGCTTACTTTTCATTAGGGCTTTTTCTACACCCAAACCTGGCTTATAGTTGTGTTCAAATCAAATGTTGCAGCACTCCTCCCCCTCCTCAGTCTTCCCATTCAAAGAACAACCTCTCTCAGGAAGTACTTTTGGGAGATCCCCCTCCGCATCCCCACCTGTGACAGAGGGGGCTAGACTGAGCGTCACATCTGTCAGTGAGTTGCTGTGAGACCCCAGGCAAGTTGCATATCCTCTCTGGGGCTCTTTGAAATCCCTCCCCTTTGAAATAGGAATAATAACTCAATCACTAGAATTCTTCACCTGGTTGTTCTGAAACTAATCAGAATAAGTGTGAAGATAATATGAAAGAGTGTAAAGATTATTTGGCAGCTCTGTGACATCTTGATTGATAATGACAGTGACTGTAGTATCTGTCATTCCACTCCACACCACTCTTACCCTTCGGCTAAAACAGAAAAAGGTAAGTCTGTGTTTTTCACCCCTTTTCTCAAGCCCACTTTGTTGTTTTCCTTAGTTGCTAGATGAGAAAGGAAAGAGGGTCAGAGAGGACCTTAAGTTCATGTACTTTAAAAAGAACCTGCAATTTTAAGTGATCTCCTTAACCAGTTCTTTCTTTTCTTTCCAGTTTTTCCCCAGTTATACTTCCATATGATACACCAGAGAAGAAAGATCCTCTCTTATACTGAAGAACACAAGAAATTTGAATAGTTCCTGCTTTCTGCACCTGCCCCCCAAACAAACTTTTCAATGATCAAAAAATGCTGCAGACTTTTTGAGTTCCCAATACGTTTCGTAGAAAATAAGTAAGAACTATTTTTAAAATATTTAAAAAAACAAAAACCAGAAATCCAATGTCACATGGGCCTGGGATTTTATTTTAAAAGGCTGTCACATAAAACATTCTGGCTGGTCCATTGCAGCATGCTCTTTCAACCAGAACTTACTAATATTTATTGACGGTGTTAGAAAGGGATTTGGCATTTTATATTCCTTCTGTCCTTCATGTATCTGATAAAGATCTGTAACACTAAATACCTGAGAGTTACAGTCTGAGTAATGAAGTTGTACCAACTGAATGCCCAGCTTGCGATAGAGTTATGTTGCAGTCTGCAGTGTGTTTAGCATTCCCTTTTCAAAGTGCTTGACTGCATGCTGGAAACTATTTGTATTTTTGAAGTGGCAAACTTTGTTCTCTGGAATGCTCTGAAGTTGTGGCTGGGACCTATCCCCTCATATCTAGTGAATGAAGTATAAATGTATATGCCTGTGAAGCTTTGGGGTAGTGCCGTAATCAGAAAACAACTAGAACCCTGTTGTTGTTTTTTTTTTTTCAATTGAGTCATTGCTGCCTGCCACTAAGAAACATGCTTGAATTTAATGAGTATGTGTATATTGTAAGGAACCTACCTTATCTGGAGCTCAACCTCAATCATTTGTTAACAAAATAACAGTTCTCAGAGAGGGAAAGCTCAGCAGCTAGTGACAAGTACTTTTCATAGTACTGTTCTCAGAACACCTCTGGGTGATGGATTTGCCAATAGCTATTCTCATTTATGGACCTGAAGCCAATCCAGTCACATAGGAGCAGGGAATGTTATTGAAAGCACATGGAAGGTGTTGCTTTAGAAATATCCAGAAAAACATTCAGGAAGAGGTTTTAACACCATTATTATTTTACTTTTTAATTTTCATATACTCTTCTGTTATGACACTTTTCCTAACAGTGGTCCTATGTTAATTCCTACCAAGCTGTAAGTCCAAACGCAGTAAAATGTTCCAGTTGGGCAGTCATGAGCTAAAAGCAATATCATCTCCACGTGTTGTAGGAGCCAAGAGATAGTTTGGCCCTATGTACATTGTCTAATTAACATAATATCTTCATACCATTTAATTGCTCAACTGTGCATTTAAAACCCTTTAAGAAAGGGTTGGATGAAAATGTATAGCACAAGTTTAGATGTGCATCAGATTTTAAACACAGTATCTTCTTTATGGAACCTTTCACCCCGCACCCCCCTTTTTTTTGGTTGAACCTTAAGACTTTAAAATTCTAGCTTACTGAGTAGTTGTAATTGAAAATATAATTGCTAATATTAGAAGAATGTCATAATGGAAAATCAAATTTCTAAATGCTTATTTTCATAGACATTTGAAAATTTAATGCAGGCAGGTGTATAATAAATTATTTTTGAATTGAACATTAAAATTCTGCTTCTTAAAGTCAACACTTTTAACTTGGGTGTGTTGAGGTTAGAATCTATTCTTATATTTGATGGACAAAATATATGGGAAAGATTATTCTTCGAGATTTTTCTCTCATTTTGGCCTTCCAAAATGTATTTCCACTGTAAAATAGAATTAACTTTGGTTTTATTAGCTTTATTACTTTATTCAGTTAAGATTTTTTCAGTTGTTTTTGGAATAGTTATATAAGGTGGCATGAAAAATGCAGGTTTTCCAGGATTGCTGGGCTGGGAGTATTATTCAGACCTCTCTATTATAATTTGTCACTATTTATGAAAAACATTCCGTTACAAACAGTGGTATTGCATCAGATTGAACTTTGGCAATGAGAACACAGCAAACAACTCCCTTCTGAAAAAGAGTCTCAACCCCAGTGTGTATTTTTGTACATCAACATTTAAAATACTTATGGCAGATAAGTAAGGCATGTCACTGTGTCCTTCATTAACCTCTCTCAGTAACTGGTGTCTTTATCCATAACATGAATTAATTTCTCCTTGGAAGTGGTGGCGTTCTTTTATAAATTGAGAATATCCAACCCCACCAACTCTCACATCTTCTTATAAAGTGTGAATGAAGAACGTGGGTTTTTGGTGGTGGTGATTTTTTCAGACTTAGCAGTTTCATTTCAGGGCACAGTCAAAGGCATCGTCTTCCCAGCTGCCCACTTGATTGCGTGTTTCAGATCCCCACTGGGGGCCTCTGACAGAGAAAAGTCTTTGAGGTACACAGTAGTGCTTTGAAGATACAAGCTGCTAATCTTCTTCTTGCTGTGTTCTGTTTGCTAAGGTTGGGATCATTCATTTAAAATGTACCAAACATTATCAAAGGCACCGTGGAGAGTTAGTCATGGAGTAAAGCACTGTCCTCCCAGACAAAAAAGGTCCTCTAAAGCAAACTTCTGCCATGAAAGGTTTAGAAGATATAGAGGTAAAGAGGCATATGAAGAGATCGTGCCCTCATTTTTCACTTGTTTTTTTGGTTATTCATTTATAATAGAAGGTTGGCAGTGATGTGGTCTAGCCTGCACATTATTTTCAATTCTGAGTTTCAGATAAAACATTACAAAACATCAAATTCAAAACATACTGCTCCTTTGAAATTTGGGTAAAAAATTATACAACCGTATATATAGTCACTTTTGTATTTTTTCTATGTTGTGAAAACCAAAATTGTAATTTTATAAGTCTTTGATTCACTGAAATTATATAATTTAAATGTATTTTTTGTATATTTAGAAATAAGGAGTTCGAATACTATGCTTAACTTTCTATGCATGCATTTGAAAGCTGTTTTTACCTGATTGATAAAGTTAACATAGTAATAAGTTGTATTCATAAAATACTGATCTGTGTTGCATTTCGAAATAAACTGTGTGTGCTCTGCGTGGATTTGAAAAACTGACCAGTGAGTATAATGATTTTTCACATTCAATAGGCCTGAATGTGGTGTGTCAGGAATATGGAAGAGTTTCAGTTGTGCTGTGGACTCTAACTCTTTCGCTGACAATTTTAAAATCTATTTCTCCTAGTCATAATGGTTCTGCACTTACAGGAAAAAGACAGATTATATTTAGAGGTTTCCCAAAAGTCTTTCTTTCCTGCCAATCTTCAAGCTTACCCAGCCAGTCTGCAATCTGGCTGCAGAGATAAGAAGGATTCCTCATGTGAGTGACCAGGAAATCTAAGAAATTAATCAGCCAAAGGTTGAGAACTCTTGTCTTATAATGAAGTCTGGGTTTTCTTTAGTGTAACTTTTCTAATATAAGTTGAGAAGGGAGAGACTGATGCCCAGCAGTGTTCATCTTTTATTAAAACAAGATGTGGTGAAGTTCAAGTATGCCATCCTGAAAATGCTTCCAAATACAGAGCAATCCTAGGAACTGCTCTGCTCTCTCTCAGGTTCACAGTAAGAAGTGGTGGAAAGGGGCCGGCCCGGTGGCGCACTCGGTAGAGTGTGGCGCTTGGGAGCGTGGCGGCGCTCCTGCCGAGGGTTTGGATCCCATATAGAGACCGGTCCGCTCACTGGCTGAGCGCGGTGCAGGCATGACACCGAAGGTTGCGATCCCATTGCCGGTCACGGTACGGGTGCGACACTGCAGGTTGCGATCCTGTTACCGGTCAAGAAAAAAAGACAAAAAGGAAAAAAAAAGAAGTGGTGGGAAGGACACTGACTTAGGATATATTCAGCCAGGTCACTTCCAACCTTCCATCTCTAGACCCTCAGTTTCTTCTGCGTGTGCTGGGCACTTTCCAGTTATTTCCCTGGGTGATCTCTCGCATGGTTCTTGCAGTAGTAATGTGCCCCTTCCTGGGTCTGCATGGTCTTTCTCAGAGTTAACCATCACCGCTGCCCAAGAGTGCACTCTTTGTCCCAAAGGGGAACATTTTCTTTCTAGACGCTATCTGATCACAGCCTAGACGTTACCAGCACAGTGGTTAAACTACTTCTGTCCTCGTATGGAGTCTATTCTGTTTCAGAGGTAGGCTTTTCATTTATGAAAACAGAAATAAAATTATTGCAACTGAAACTGAGGAACAGATGGTGAAGTTAATAGTAGAGGCTACCCAGAAAATGCAACCTTTACAATTAATGAGAAACGGGGGCTTTCTAATTTGTCATTGTCATATTTTGTGGCAATTATGTGTACTATGTTAACATAAGGCTTAGCCTGGAGGAATTACCGTTGTTATAATTAAGAGACCTACTGTTACACACAGCATTCCAAAAATACTGCTGTGTTGTTCTGTTCCCTTTAACAAGAATGAAGACAGGCTTCACAATTCCTCATTATTTAAAAAAGAAGAAAAAAAGTTCCAGCCTCACAAGTAGCATGGCTCATTTGTCCTACAGTTTAGTGGTGAAGAAACTGTTCTAAGCGACTGTTACCAAAAATAGCCATACCTATTAACATTCCTCTGCTTACAACTGAGAACCAGAGTCAGAAGAGAGAGCTGTGTGGTTTCTTGACCAGAACTTTTTTTGAACACGTGAAACTAATTTTTTTTTTTTTAGAGATACGCTTAATATTATGGGGGCAAGTCTCATTACCAAAAATTATCTTTCCCACAAAAGGCAATTCACTGTAAAATTCTTCCATTTGGTGAGCAAAAATAAAAATGTAAGAGGCTCTGTGTAAGAGGCACCTCGTACTCATTTCATAAATCTTTTTGTTTGGAAATTGTGTTTTCTGCTCCCTAATTCCAGAGCATAGACCTATTACCACGGCAGCGCTTTTGAATCTGTCCTGTCCTTGGGTGGATGCAATCCAGATATGTTTCCAGAAGCTGCTCTTGTTTAAAACCAGGAACATATTTTCACCACCGTGCTGCAGTATCTGGGCTTTCCCTCTGGGGGGCAGCACCTCACAAGCAATCTGGGTCCTCACGAGCCAAAGGAGTTTGGGAAACAGCTTTGGCCCAAGAACACCAAAGGGGCAGGAAGGCGCACTAAAGAAAATTAGTCATGGCTCTTTATTGTCCATGTAAAGCAAAGACAGATTTTATTTATTTTTATTTTTTTTAATTTTTTTATTTTGTCAATATACATTATGGTTGATTTTTTTTTTTTTCCTTTTTGTCTTTTTTCGTGACCGGCAACCGATCGCAACCCTCAGTGTCGTGCCCGTACCGGACTGGGACCGGCCACGGGATCGCAACCCTCGGTGTTGCTCCCGCACCTCGCTCAGCCAGTGAGCGGCCGGTCTGTATGTGGGATCCGAACCCTCGGCGGGAGCGCCACCGCACTTCCCAAGCTGCGCACTGTAGCAGTGCGCCACCGGGCCGGCCCCATTGTGGTTGATTATTGTTGCCCCTTACCAAAACCTCCCTCCCTCCTCCCTCTCCTCCCTCCCAC